CATTTTTATAATGGCAAAACTATTTATTTTTATATTTAGCTGCTGTTGAGCTACAGACAGAAAAACCGTTCATGTATTTGACACAAATATAACAAGTAACTGAACTGTGGGCTCTTAGTGTAGCTCAGTGCAAATAAATTAGGGGTAAAGCTACGGATAACGTTGGTAGGTGCATAAAGTCACAGCGGGCAATGTGTTTATTTGAGTTCAAAATGCATTCAGTCTGGTAGATAGGCTGAGAGAAGCAGGTGACGGAAGAACATCTACACCATGATCTACCAAGCTTCAACCAGAAGCTAATCAGCCAGCTGGAACACATCTAAAACCAGCTTCAGCCACAAAGATCGTGATAGCTGGACGCTGATGAGCTACAATATTAACAGATTGTTGCACTTGCATGCAAGTTGCCCCAAATAATTTAGTCAGGATCTGCATGTGGATTTAGAAAGACAATATGCTTTGAAGTTACAACTTTTCCCAAAGCAATATTCTTATTTCTCGTTTCTTAAGAAAACCGAAATATACCTAGGTTATTCCGCTTCTTCAGGCACTTGTAGGCAGCTTCATGACTGTGGTCTGGGCAATTATTTTTCTGTAGTACCAACACAAAAGCAACCTAATTTTGCTTTTTATGTTGGTCCTTTGAAAAAATAATTGCTCTGACCAAGGTCATGAGTCTTTTCCCCTTAGGATTCCTGTGTGGTTTTATAATTTCAGGTTTTACATTTAAGTCTCTAATCCATCATGAATTGATTTCCTTGAGGGTCTAATTTTATTCTGAGAGGGGCTCTCCAGTGTTCTTAGCATCGTGCTTGGCACAGTAGTAACAACCCAGCTAGCTGTCGAGGTGTGGATTAATTTCCAGGCTCCCTAGTGTGTTCCCCTGGCTGACCTATATCATGCCAGCCCCAAGCTGTTTGGGCTAGCACAGCTTTTAGAGTGCTTTGAAATCAGGTACTATGTTGCCACAAGCTTTCTTTGGGCTTCAGATTATTTTGACCATTCGCAACTTCATATATATTTGAGGAATTTTTTCATATTTCTGTGGAGAATGTGACTGATGGTGTGAATTGTACTGAGGGCGTAGATCAGTTTGCATAGCGGGGATGTGGATGTTAAGCAATGCTCATTTTTCCAATCCAGGAACATGAGCTAGCATTCCCTCTGTTTGTGTCTGCTGTACATTCTCTCAGAGATATTTTGTAGCTCTGAGTTTAGAAATCTTTTGTTTACTTGGTTACTTTTTGTGGTATGGGGGACTGAACCCAGGAGCCACATCCTCAGCCCTTTTATTTTTTATTTTAAGATGGGGTAACTCAATCACTAAGTTTCCCAGGCTGGTCCCACACTTGCAATTCTCCTGCTTCAGCCTCCCAGAATGCTGAGATTATAGATATGCATAACAATTCCTGATGTACATATGGAATTTTTTTAAAAAAATTTCCTTTTACAAGTAATTTGCTGTTGATAAACAGACAAGCAAATGATTTTTACATGTTGATTTTATATCCTACAAATTGACCATATTTACCAGTTCTAATAATTTTTTTGGTGAAAATTTTCAGGTTTTCTGTTTCTAAGACGCTGTTATCTACAAACAGGGATAATTTAAAATTTTTTCTGATTTGTATGCATAGTTATGTTCTTATTGCTGAGATAAAACACCTAACACCCACAGCCTAGGGAGAAAAGGTTTATTTTGGCTCATAGTTTGCAGAGGTGTCCACCCACAATCCTCTGGTTCCTAGGCAGGGCAGCATGGCAGAGGGGCACAGTAGAGGAGAAATAGTCCATAGCAGGGCAGGCCAGAGACTAAGTGGTGGACCAAGAGAGGGTGAATGACATTACACACCTCCCAGGCCACCTCTTCTCACCAGGCTTCACCTCCCAACATGAGACTGAGCTATAAAACCATGAGTGGACTAATCCAATCTATTGGGTCACTTACCCATGATCCATATTACTCCCCAAAACCTCACCCAAGAGTGCCTGAAGCTCCGGGAAATATCGAAATGCAAGCCATAACAGGTGCATTCTTCCTTCCTTCCTTTGACTAATTCCTCTAGACAGAAGTTCCAGGACTATATTGAAAGAAAGGCATTTGTGTTTTTGGATCTTAGTTTTTCTCTGGTAAAATGTCTTCTGAGTTTATTGTTTTTGCCCTTTGTGGTGATGAGGAATGTTCCTTATCTATCTAATTGTTTGAAAACTTTTCCCATGTAAAGATCACTGAACTTCATCAAATTCTCTGAGTTCATCTATTGAGATGGTGCCATGCTTCATCCTTTTAAGCTGATGCACTGTGTGTTTTTAGTCAACCTTGCACCTCTGAGGCCAGTTCCATTTGGCCATGGTGAATGATGCATTACTTCACTGTGGAGTTGGGATTGTTAGTGATCTGTTGAAGATTTTTATACCAACATTAATCAAATAGGTCAGGAATGATGGCCTATAGTTTCTTTTTTTGTTTTGTCCTTTTCTGGTTTTGCTATCAGACTAATGCTAGCCTAATGAAATGAGTTTGGAAGTGTTTCTTTCTCTTTAAGAGTTCTGAATATTTAGAAGGAGTGTCACTTGGCATTAGCTCTTTAAATGTGTGTTGGAATTCAGTTGTAAGCTCTCCAGTCCTGGGCGTCTGTCCATGTGTGTTATCTTGCAGGTACAAAGATCTATAGTTGTGCTAGCCCTTACAGAAAATAGTGCAACTTCTGCATGACCCCTATGCCATCCTCCAAATCCCTGTTATCTCTAGCTTGTTTGTTGCTTGTAATACCTAATACATTTAAATGATGGTAAAAAGTCATACTGTGCAGGGAATAAGAACATCTGTACATATTCAGTCCAAATGCACTTTTCTTAAATATTTTTGATCCACAATTGGTAAAATAGATGGAAGTTGAACTCCTAGTTAACAAAGAAATATTGTATTTTCTAGTAACCCATGATTGAGTTTATTTTTTCTTCCATTTGATCAGGTCTGCTGTTGATGCCTTTGGCTCACGTTTTTAATACGTTAGGGGTGTTTTCAACTCTGAAATCTTTATTGTTATTTGAATCTATCAAACACTCATTCAGGTCATATATTGTTTCCTCATTTCTTTTGATTGTTTCTCTATTCCTTTTTGAAGACCTCTGAGCACTCCCTAAAGCGGGTATTTTGAATGGCCGGACCATCCGTGCATCTCTGTTTCTCTTCAGTCAGTCATTGCCACTTCGTCTTTCTGGTGCAGTCGGTCACACTGCCTGATTGTTTTTGACCCTCGTGGGTGCACATCATGTCTGTATGTGTGAAGCAGACACTGACTGCTGTCTTTGCAGTCTGCTTTTCCTGGGAATGTCCTTCTGAGTCACATGGTCTTGAGACACAGTGGGCTGTCTAGTGTGGATCCAGCACCTGACACTTCCATGTCTGCTGCAGTGCTAGGGAAATGTGGTGCCTGGGGCCACCACTGCGTGTGGAGCACCTTGCTGGACTCAGGTGACCTTTGAGGCAGGGACAGCACAGGACTATGCCATGCTGCAAGCTCTTCCATCACTGAGAGTGGTCGTGGTGGTTTGCTGGCAATGCTGCGGGTTGGAGACTCAGTCCATCTTGAGGGACCCCGGGCCCCTCCTGGGCCAGGTAGCTTTTGTGGGTTAGGTTTTGGGTCACAAAGGCACTGTCCGCCTCCGTTGCTGTTCATTCCAGTGCATCTGCTGGGAGGGTGTAAAGCCCAGCCTACGCTCGGTCCTCCCTTCCCAGGTGGATGGCACTTCTCTGTGTGCTGTGCTGTCCAGTCTGGAGGGGGTTTGGGTGATGGGCAATGGTCCTTCCTCTTCCGTGCACCCTGTCTTCTACCTTTGCTCCACCTGGCCCTCACCATTTCCTACCTGGATTCCCGAGTGATTCTGAAGGTGTTTTATGTATGTTTGTGGAGGACTGTTTCCTAGAGATCAGTCCATCTCGACCTGCTCTCTCCCACAAATGGAATTTTCATATAAAAATTCATGTCTTAAAGAAGTATTTTTCCTATTGAACATTTTAATACAATCTCTTTCCATTTCTGTACAGATTATGTCTTTTGTTTTACACATTTTGTAGACTTTGAGGAAGGAAATTTGGAAGAAAGATAAGCATTAGAATATGCATTATGTATTATTATTATTATGTAAATACAAAAGACACAACTCAGTATTCTGATATTCAATTGAATATTGATATAAAACAAGAGTTGGGGCAAGATTGGATATACAAACCTTGTGTGCAGTGGAGATGGATTTCTTCACTCAATTCTTTTATTACGGCATGTTTGCACGATGTCCTTTATGTGCATTGTAGGGTCGGGGCATGTGTGTAACACAGAGCCCAATTCATGTTAGCAGTTTCAGTGACACATACTTCATTCCTCCATATGTTATTTTTAAAGTGAGCTTCATGATTTTTAGAACAAATTACCTACAATTATCTTGTTTCAAAGAAAGCAAATTTGGACTCCCCAGGGAGATGTTTAAACACTCATCTTCCATGTCACACTGATGTCTCCCCTTTTAAAGTAAGAAGCACAAATAATTATGTTTTTCCCATTTACAGATTACAAAGATCTCTTCAATTCCTTAGTTTTGGGTTTTAAAGATAAATTTTCCACATTTACTCTGGCATTTCTTATGAGGAGTCCAGCTTACATTTTAAAAATCAAAACAGGTAAGCTACCCTTCATTTATTGTGAATCCACAGACCATTTCTCTGATCCTTTTGTGGACTACTTCTCATTGTAAAAAGTGAACCTTCACTGCTGAAGACAGCAGGAAAACCCATTGACACGTGCCCAACATGAAAAAGCCTGAATCTCACCCCACTGTCTAACACATGATGCCAAATGTCCTTTTTAATGTTTCCCTAAAATAGCATAGAATTAAGTGTTTATAATGGAATTAAGAAAGAAATACAGTTTCAGGTAATATACTTGGAAGCAGAAATCTAGGGTTAATGTTTTTTAATACAACAAAAATTACACAAAGCATTCACATTTCAGGAAGCAACCTTTTAATGGCTGAAACCAGTCCTTCTGACGTGACTACAAAACAAGTATTACAACACATACATGTTGATGCACATCCTATACTTTGTGATATCCCATATGATAATTCCTTTATCGACATTTAAATCTCTGAATACTAGAACAGAATTCTGAGGTTGCCAGGTGTAAGTTGCATCTGAGTAGAAAAACCAACAGCTACTCAGGCTTCCAGAAGATCTAAAACCAACATGGAAAGTAGGAAAGTCTTTACAACATGAAGAGCTGAATCTAACTAAAGACGTTGTACATTTGCATGACTGACAAGAAATATAGGGCCACTGTCACGATGTCCACAATGGTCACGTTATCTCCCGTTGCTGTATGAAGGGTTCAGTTGAGAAAGACGCTGAAACAGTGCATCACGAGTGACTCCCAGCCATCACGTATCTTCTGTTATTAACCATCTCTCAGTACCTGGTACTCATGCAGGTAATGTAGTGCTGGTCGTGGGGTCTCCGTTGGGACTGAACAGGGACAGTACAAGTGCAACATGGTTGCCCTTTGACCAGGGAAGCAGAAGTTGGAGACTCAGTATTTTTCCAGAATGTTCACTCCTCTGCTGAGTTCGCCACCACGGAGCAAATCCACGAATCAGAACCACAGAAAACAACTGGTTCAAGCTAGGAACTGAAAGCAACTCAACTTTGGAAGAGTACTGGTTTCTGTCCAAAGTATAGATTTTAAGGACATCATAATCTTCTTAAAATGTGCCACAGCTTAGTCAAAATAGAGAGAGAGGGAGACAGAGAGAGTGCCACCATTTCTTTAACTAAAAGACAGGATGTATTTTGTAAAAATAAAGCATATTTAATCTCCATGTTGTAGATCAATACTACCAAAGGTCTTTTAGAGCTGGTATATAGATGTAGACTTGTTGAACACCTGTAAAAGAGAAGGACTGTTATTATTTAGCAGAAAGCAATGGAGCAATAAGATGTCAGTTGAATACTACGCATCAGAGATACGAGATTTCCATCATACAGCCTGCCTTCTTAAGGGAACAGTCCCACAAAGGACCTCACCCATGCACATGTCCCATTCAAGACACTGGGACACACAGCAGGCTGCCTCCCCACAGCAGCAGATAACTAGACAAGCAAGGGGAGACAGTTACATCTGCACTGGAGAAGCACCTCACACCCTAAGGCCACCTTCCACACAGAGGACACATGTCCCCACCTTCAGCAAGATCACTGGTGTATTCTTTTTGCAATACAATGGATGAAAAGTCCACTTTGATTTATCTCCTTGTACTGCATTTCCTGCTGAGCATGTAGCTCCTTATTTTTGTCAGCTGTTCACAAAACATTCCCACATATGTAACTTTGGGAGCATTCAAAACTGACATTCCAGGGGACGTGTGCTGCTAACTCTAGTATGTCAGGTAATTGGTAAAGAAGAGTTTTACAGAGACAGTAATTTTCCTTCTACCAATAAATGCAACAGCAAAACTAACGTGTTCATTGGCAAAGACAGCTGAGCCACTCCCATTTCCTGTCTGATTCAGCCATATGTGGGCATAAAAAATTTGACACTCAGGGGTCCTTAAGCAGCAGTGACACTCAGCACATGAGCTTCACACAGGACGTGGAGGGGGACACGGGGTTTGGACAGTACACAGCCAGCATGTCTACACACAGCCTTCCCGTTTCATATCCATGTGATCTTAATCCACTTCTATGCTGTACTCAAATGTAATTTTATATTGATCTGCATCTTCCATTGGATTTTTAAAATTCTTTTTCTTTCCCTCAATCCATTTACATCTCAACATTTAATTTTATATATTTCCCTGGCCAGCGACATAGATCATCTATGTGTGATTTTTTTTTCTAATTAGACATAAGTAAGCAAGAAATAAATGAGGTAAAAGTTGACTCTGTTAATTTTACAGGGTACCACTGAAACTGTTCTCATCCGTCTAGAGTCACAGATGCAGTTTGGTGATCTGATCTTCACAGACACTGTTTACTGCGTCAGCCTTCATATGTGTCTAACTTTATGTTAAGACCCTCAAGTACTGGAAAGCATATTAAGAAAGAATTAGCTAGCCATGTTCAGAAAGATGGATACTATTTCAATGTATATATAATGCACAACTTTGGTAAGGTTAGGGACCCATCGACAATCAACTTTAGCTAAGGTTAGGGACCATCGACTTAGCTAAGATTAGGGACCCATCGAGGTTAGCTAACCACTTCCGGTGTGTACTTACTCATCTCACTCTCTGAGTTCTGCACGCACAGTAAGAGATCATAAAGGCGACAAACATCACCGCCCCCAAACTGAGCAAGAAGATTTCCACCACACCAAGCAGTTTTATTTTCCCAGTCACTTGCTTCCGGAACATTTGTGCTTTCTCATCGCCAATAGTACCAGTCTGTAATCAAATTGATAATTAGAATTACTTAGGTAGATGACGGAAACAAAATGCTCAAATCCTCTGTGTCTCATCCTTAATGCCTTTGCATGTGGTAGTCCTTTGTGTTCAGCAGAGAACCCTGTGGGGTCCCTTCCGCATTTCAAAGGAAAATGCCAAATGCCAAGCTAAAGTAATAATCGGCTCCCTCTGAACATGCTGGGCAGCACTCGGTGCACTGGAGCTCAGTTTATTTTTAGACCTGCGTCTCTGAAATATTTCAGTTTTCCTAAGGTTGTTTCCCAGTAGTGGGGAAATTACAGAAGTGGACAATTCTGCTTGCTTACAGATTTATGTGATGCAGTTTTTCATTCTGTGATTGGCCAGTACAGTGATTTACACAAAAAATAGCTCACCAGGCAGTGAGACAGGCTGCCTATACTTGGTCTAAGTAGAGCTTTAAAAACATCGTCAGTTTTATTAGCGCTAGTCTGTTCAGAGAGTCTCAATTTTCTTAGAGACATATATGTATATATGCTTGTTTCCTCAAACAAGCAATATGACAAGAAATCTATGTAATAGATACATTTTAATGTGATTTTAAAGAGCTTTTTTCTTTTGAAAAGGAAAAAGACCCCAGAAAATTGACAAATATTTCTATTTGTATTCGATTCTCTCAAATAGATATAATCAGTAATGTGTAGGCTCATCCATATGGGCAGTGGAAATGCACACAAATTCAAACACTAAATACACATATAATTGTGAAACATTAAAACTTGTCTATAATAGTTGATATTTTTGATAAATTAAAATACTCACCTCATTGAGCCAGAGGATGGGCACAATGTAATGCCTGTTCAGGTGCTTTAAGGCGCTGTAACATGCATTGAAAGTAATTATGAAAATGTATACCAGTCTATCCATAAAGACTTAGCATCCTTTTTAGTAATTACTAGGGTAAGTAACTTTTCAGAAAGCAGTGGCTCTTGTTCTTGATTTTGTTTTCCAGTAAGTCCTTTAAATTGTAACCTATTTCTCAGACTTTGCACTCACAAATCCTTTGAATGCCAATTTCTGATTAGATTGATTATTTTCTAAACACATATTTTTCTTTCAACAAGTTCTACAGAGGATTGTAAAATATGACTTAAATATTACTGTAGTAGGAGTAATTGGATGTCTAGTTAAATGGAACCACCTTAAAACTGAGTTAAAAGTATTTCAAAATATGAAATAAAGGTGCCGTTTCAAAAGATACTAGATAGACTCTCAGTTACAGATGGAAATGACCAGAAGCATTTGATAGCTGCTGTCTAATGACATGAAGGTAAAGAGAAGATGGTATTTGATATTCTCTTCATCTTCTCATTTACTCACATTTTCATAAGACAATAATAAAAATTATAACAGGATAAGGTTGCAGAAGAGACTCACTCAATTTTTTTTGCTGGCTTGACCAGTATGTTGACCTGAAGCCGTTTTGCAAATTGTAAAGTGAATCCAGTTATCTGAAAAGAAAACCAACTAAAAGAATCACCAACATTATTTCAACAAATACATTTATAATATTCAAAACTCACTTTTGCTGTGTCAGCAGTCAAGTTATTAGGAAGAATTAATGTGAAAGAGGAACAGTGGAAGTTTGTAGAAATTAATTGACCATGTCAAACATTACACATAGAACTCTAATCACTTTCTCTGTGTGTCTATGTCTAGACACACAATTTCTTTGGCCACTGTAACATAAAGGGTCAAGTTTTATGATATTTATCTAAAATTTCATGTAAGAAAAATCAGTGACAGCAGCAGTAACAAAGTAGAATGACTTAAAGTTACTTACTAAACTATGTGTGATCAATTTTTAAATTGTATTTATTTATTTATTTATTTTGAGCTGAAATTGAACCCAAGATTTCACGCTTGCCAGGCAAGCTCTGTGCCACTGACTTATATCCCCAGCTCCGGCCAAATATTTAGTCAGAATCCAAGAATTAGTCTTATTAAGAACACTATGCATTATTATTATTTAAGCAGAAAACATGACTATAAATTCTAGAAGTAAATTTTCTTTATGGCTCTAAGGATTGAACCCAGACCCTCAGATACGCTAGGCAAGTACTTTGCATGGCAGTTACATGCCCTTTTGAAAAGGAGAATAAATAAGGATAAACTGTTGTATTATAGCAATTTTCATAGTTTTTCTTAACACTAAATACACTACATTTTGCCCCAAATTTATATACGTTCATAGGATATTTCTTAGCATAGAAATATATCCTCATAGAAACACCTGCAGTTAAATGCAATACAAGCCAAAGCAGTAATATATTCAAATCATTATAAGCCAGTTAGACTCATTGGGTTGTTAGATGGCACATCACGTTCATTAAAAGCTGGCGCAGTGCTATGTGCTTTGACTAAAATGGAATTTTCTTGACATTTATACACCACAGTAGAAAGAAAGCCGTGTAATTTCCACTGATATAAAGTTCCAGTAATTTTTTAAGAACAGAAATCCAAAAAACTCTGATCAATAAGTGACAAGGTTAGCTTAGATTGATTTTTGTAGAGAAGTATAAAGCAAGTCAGATCAGTGATGTATTTGCTCACAGGCTCCACATCCAAGTACGTCCTGTGCTCTTCTTCGTTAGGATGTAAGCCTTCAATCGGTCCTGAGATATCAGGGCTGGCGTGTAGAAAGTGAGGCAGTGAAATGTACACAGGTTTCCCTGGAAACAAGTTGCAGAGTTAATTGGAAATGCCTTTTGTCTTTCACTTACCACTCAAAAATATTTCCTTAACAAACTTTTAGATTAAAAATACAGAGTTGCTTTTGAATAATTACAGCAGGTTCCTAACATACAAACAAAATATAAAATTCTGCCCTTCTATAAAGCAGTCAGCTGGTGTCTGTCCTTCAATCTTAGCTGCTAGTTTCTACAGGCAACTTGAAATACATACAGGTACGTACATATATACTCATTCAATCAGTCATGTTCCTGGCACTCTTTGTCTATGGACTGATAATTGTAAGCATTATCATCTGTTTTCATGCATACCCACTAGAATTAAAGGAATATTGGTAAAATAAGACGGACTGAGCTGTATTCACCAATTCCTGCTGCAGAAACATACTGAAAATATTCGCTTTTATTTGACACTTTTTTGTTGCAAAAATTAAGCTAGAGCAGTGACACATGAATAGTTTAGGGTGCCCAGAGTACTCTGGAAATGCTCATCATCCCCATGCCCTGGAAAATGACAGCCTCACGGAGTAATATTGGCGTGATTTCCCACCAATAAGTGTTTCCCAACACTGAAACACGAGGGAGGCCTCAAAAGGTGTTTAAAACACAACACCGAAATTTCCTGCCATAAATGCTTTGGCATTACTGCTTTAATTTTAAGCTTTGGGTAGAAAGGGGTTCTGGGCACAGGTTAAATTTTAGGAAATATTTCAGATTGTGTCACAAACTGTGACAGCGACCGTTCTTACACACCTTCCTTGCATTTGCCGATGTCTAGCACACCGTACGATGTGCAGTTGTTTGAGATAACTTTTTCTGTACAGAAACATTCATTTTCTGGATTTTCAAATGGAGATGCAAATGCCTTTGCCGGAAGAACAAATCTGTACACAGGGATTCCTTTCAGGTTAACTTCAGATCCAAATATAGCATAAATTGACCTAAGCAGGCAAAATACAAGGAAAAAAAAAAAAAAGAACTTTTCTTAGAATTTTAAATCTTATTTAATTCTTAAGAGAAAACATTTTTGTGATATTTTAAGACCTGCCTGAACTCAGTATCTGAGTACAAAATATTCTTACCTTCATTCTCAAAAGCTTCAAAGGGCAAGCTTTCCTTCTGACCCGCCATGGAGTATTTATACCAAAGATTTTTACTCCAGTTCACTTTCCTTGTAGATTAAATATAATTGTCTACTGTCCACAGTTTAAATGAAACGGTTGGTCTTTGGGAACTTCTCAGTGAAGGGAAGTCCCCCGCCTGTCGGAAGCTGTGTGTGTGTGCACGCGGCCAGTGCCTGCCCACCTCCCCCACTCACCGAGTGTGTGCACGCCAGGGCCCTGAGCCCCAGCCAGCTCTGTATGTGTTTGCCTTGGTCTCCAGATAACAGCAGTGTTACTCCACAGAGCCTTATCAATCTTGCAGATAAGGAAAAGATTCAGAGAAACAAGTGTTTGCTCACAAGCTCACAGTCTTTAGTGATCAGACTGGGGTTCAAACGTGCCCCAGGACTGGCGGGGCCCCCCAGTCTACAGTGATGCGAAGGGGCTGCAGAGCACGTCTTAGTGCAGTTCAGAGTCAGTGGCTGTCTTCTCTGGACCTGGCCAATAGGATTGAGCATGAGAAGAAGTGAAAACCTGCCCTTTGGAAGGGTACAGGAAATGGCTTGGGTTGTAAAAGCTGGAGCATGAGAAGGGTGTTTTGAGAAGAGGTGAACTCTCTGAATTCCATATCGATGCATTTACTTTGAGGAAATAGAGAAGAACGTCTCCTAAGTATATTTCTTTTTCTCAGAGAACACGATTGTTTCATCAGGGGTTCCTGATCTTTATTCTACCCCAGTTATCACGCTGGTGTCATCGTCTCACCTGCAAATGTCAGAGGAGAAGAATCGCAGAATCCGAGATTTCTCCACGAAGGGCGGAAAGGAGGCTGCGTCTGTGTAAAAATCGAGCCATTGGCAAAGAATTAGATGTAACACGCGTGCTAGGAACAATCGAGAGCCCTATATCCCGGCTTCGTGAGCAGAAATGCAATACAAATCATCTATGTAAATAACTTAAAATCATCCACCATTACAGTCGTCTTTAAAAAGTAGAAAGGTAGGCATATTTAACTCAATCTACCCAAATACTACCACTCACACATGCAATCAACCGAAGTAAGGCGCTTTCCATTTTCAAAATTCAGTACGTTTGTTTATGTAGGGCACAGTTCAGTCATGCTGGCCACATTCCAGCAAGTACTTTGAACACCACACTTGGTAGACGCTGCGGAGTTCAGCGAATCCACATACAACACATTCATTGGTACAAAACAAAAAGTGGTGTGAGCAGATGCGAAGGCCGTGGTTGTGTGTTTTGAAAGTAGTCTGCCCCTCAGTGAATGGCACTTTTCTCACCATGACATTCACTTAGAAGAGCTAAATGTACAATCAACATGGTCATATTTTAATGGTTATTCACTCGCCTGCACTAAAGGCTGAGTAATACCCTTAAAAATGTTTACTGAAGCTCTCTCACGAAATAGAATTGTCTGTAAGTGTTTTGGAAACCCGCACATTACACTGAAAGAGGCGTTTGTTGGAAGAATTTCTAGTGCAGCCATAATCCACAGCCCAGGCAGAGTAAGTAAAGAAATAACCGGACGAGGCTTCATTCGCTTCTCGTGAACTTTCCCACGTGAGCTGCCACGGAGCGCATTATTTAACACGGCAGGGCTGCCCTTCAAAGGCTTCCCTGTTGCCTTTCTGTGAGTTTTAATTCTGTGTCTCTGTGTTCATTCTGTGTTTTGGTTTCAACAGCATTACAGTGGTCTTGTGACACTGTTTGATCCTGGCCAGAGAGAGCTGAATATTACATTTGAGCTTATTGGCCCCTAAATGGGTACCTGCTCCTTCATATCTTCACAACTAAAGGAAAATACTTCTAAAATCTGCATCAAGAACAGCACTGGACGTAAAACTATGTGGTTACCGTACCCAACAATTACCATATCCAATGACTTTAAAATCACTGATAATATCTGATAATAACTTTCTCTCTTTTTTGCAAAAGACACACTCTACATGTGCACTAATATTTTCATTTGATATCTTTGTACACTTACTGAAGAAAGCAGAAAATGGACTTGGACCACACAGTGCAGTCTTCCTGTTCCCAGGCCTTTCCTGGACCTGTTACCAAGAGCCTCACAGGGATCACCCCCGCCATCTCTGACCTGCCTCTATTCCCACTTGCTTTGCTTCTAACTGCCTCTTACATTGTTTTTACTTCAAATCTGATGTTCATGAATCCACAGCATTGTCACCAGTAAATCTCCTCACCTCTCCCTCCTTTGTTAAACCTATCTGCTTAACCTGGGCAGAGTGTTCAGTGATGTTTTTTTCTTCAACCCACAAAGAATTCCTTACCATTTACAATGTGTTTTTGTTTGTCTCTGAGGTCTCTGTTTTATGTAACCATGTTAGTGTGTGTAACAATAAGGCACTTGATTTGTGTGCAAAAATACTCATAGATAGCATTATTTTCATGGCTTAAATCCTATGGAGCAAACCTAGCGGTGTTTTTACTGGATTTTCCCCCCTACAAGATAATAATAAAACTAAATAAACACCCAAAACTTAATTGTGCCTGAGAACAGCAAACATCGCTGTGTTTCCTGTTAGTTAACTTGCGTCATCTTTATATATCGTTTTTGTGTAGACTGTCCCCGCGCCTACTGTGCAAACATCATGTTTGTGCTTCACAGCAAATGAAAACTGATCTGTGAATTTAATGTCCTCATGGTGTTTGAGTTCCACTGCTTTTAAAAACCTTAATTCTTAAACTAATAGACATGTATGTACTTACGTTTCTTCAAGAAAAATAGCAAGCCAGATGTAACCATACCACCCACGTAAAAGGCTTTAGTTGATTTTCCCCCAGTTGTACCTCAGGCTGCTCACTTTATAGCATAGCTTCATGGTTATTAGACATCTAACCTCGGTGAGCATTTTTCTTTCCTCTCTCATTTTGACCAAAATAAATGGTTCTGCCATGCAGTCTCACTGAGCTGATCTCAGCTTCAAATCTTACTTAAAAGTGGGTTTTCCTTTTTGTAATTTTGCTGATTTTTTTCAATTCTAAGCTACTTATATAGTATTTTTAAAAGATTTGAATACTAAGTATCTTTATTTTTGTTAACCACTTATTTCTGTAATTAAGTTGGTAGTTGATTACAGTTTTCACAAAGGAAAGATTTTCTTCACTCAAGAAGGGTTAATCCCTGAACATTAAGCTTGAGAAATCCCATTTATTAAGACATTTATGACATCTTCATAAAAATACAGACAATTATTTTGTGGCAATTTAAGATCTATAAACATATAACCTCAGGCTTCCAAACACTACAGGTTTGGTGGTTTTGCTGGAAAAGTTGAGTTGCTTCATTGTGATTGTTATTACATAAGTTCTTACCTGTACCATTAATCATGTCACAGTAGCCTGGCCAATAGGAGAGATTCCTAAGGAATTAAAAGGAAGATGAACAAATATTTTCAATTCAAAAGCACCTTTTTCACATTACTTTTTTTGCTGTGATACATCACTGCCCTTATAAAGATGATTGAATGCGACAAATGCTGAGCTTAAAACAAGTTCTAATTCATTCGAACTATATTTTGTTTCAGTCTTTTGACTTACTGCAATACATTAAGTACCTAATACCATTAAATGGTTAGATCATAAAAATAAAAGCTGCTAAATGATAATTTCATAACAAACAACTTGGAATAGATGCAGTTCTGAAAGAAGAAAACTGAGAAGCACTTCTCAGCATGTATGTATCTAGTTAGGGAACTCTTTTCCAGTGAGAGCAATGATTCTTGGGTTTTATGCTGACTAGGAGGAAGGTATTAAGTGGGACACTGGCCTAATCTCAGTCTGAGAAGAAAGACAGGAGACACAGGAAGAATGAAAGAGAAGGTGCTTAGATACGTAGAATCTAAAACATACAAACATGGAATATTTGTCCATTCAGCTTCTGCATGGACTGGCATTAAAGAGCAGAGTTTATTATTTTATGCTTTAGTATCTAAATACATGCATACATCTGTTCCCTCCCTCCATACACACGAACGTACCCCAGTGTATGATCAAATATGTACTTAATGTTTAAAGTTTTTAAAATTACCACAGTGAAACACACATTGCTATTAATCCCCCTCCTCATACCCTTTCTTTCTTCGGTCACCCTTGTCCTAGTGTTGTCGCTAATTTCCTAAGTGGCTCTGGAAGCCCTCTGATATTTTTATGATGAAAAAAACATTGACTGCTTCAGCCACGGGCCGTCCAATGGGACGGCAGGCTCACTAAATATTTCCACGTGCTCTCATTCAATTTATCCACTAGGTCACACACCTTGTGCTTTCTGACTTTCCCAGATCCATAATGCCCATGAAAGGGGAGTGTTTTCAATAGATTCCAGACCTCGAGGCAGCCAGGACAGCAAAACTACAGACACTCATGAAAGAGGACCCCAGACCTGCTTCAGAAAGTGGCCAGAGTGATGGGATGAGTGTGTTTGAAATGAGAAGCAGCTGACGGATGGGGTTCACTGATGGGGGGAGTTCTTTGATTATAATATTATTTTTTTTTAAATTTCAACATTCACTGAATTTTGTGATCACATCTTGTATTTGGAAGTGATAAAAAGCCATAGTGTATAATCATTTCCCTGCAACTCTAGACATTTTGTGATAAAAACTGTTTTTCTTACTTTTAACATATTATTTAATGATACATCAGCAGAAGATTCCACACCATGCTTAAGCAGAATAAGCTGGTAATCATGCTAAGTAATGTTATGAGGAGCCAAATCAGTCTTATCATAAAGTGACATGTAATTCTTAGTCTAATGAGACATATTTAACAACTGTGCTCAAAACCAGTCCATTATTATAATGTTGCAGTGACCACTGTTCTTTAATAAATAGTGACGTGATTTCCCTCTAAGTGAATACTGAGGGGCGTTTGCTCTCATTACTCTTTATCAAATCTTCTTTAGAAGGAATATTTAGTAAATAATTAACTGTCAGCATTATTAGGGCCTCAGTTTGAGGCAGTAGCTGCATTAATGAACATGTTTAATCCCTTTCAGTTTTGATCTCTCTACTCTCTGTTGGGAAATGATTAGTCCAGCGGATAAAGGTTTCTCCCCGATATTTATTGGGATTCTTCCCACTTTTACGGCAATAATTTGTGAATCTGTCCAATCACCAGGCAGTAATAGCTTTATGAAATTATTTTTTCCCTTAACTACTTCAAAGGTGGCATTTTCAAACTCTTTGCATTTGATGAGTCCACTGTCATGCTGGCCATGGCAATGAGCCGGAAACAGCCCTCGTGCATTTCTCGTGGAAGGGGAAGCTGTTCCTGAAGGCAAAGCAAAGCCTGCCCAGGCTGCTCAGGAGCACCAGCTGAGAGCATGGCCCCTGCTGCCAGCTCTCACTGCGAAGGGACCGGTACCGTGCAGAGCAGTGGTGTCCAGGCCTGATCACTGCAGCTCTGTCCCTACCAGCTGGCAAATACTACCCGGCTGAGAGCCCCTGACAGACTCGCTTTCCCTGGATACTTACGTTTTGTCTTTGTACTTCTCAATTATGCCCACTTTGCTTATGTTATATTTTCCAGTGAAAACTTTATAAACTCCATCTGCAGTGTTGTTGTACTGAAGAGAGGGACACAAAAAAATGACTTGTAGGGTAATTCATCTTCCAAGTTACAACAAACACTCATTAATCATAATTTTATATCACCTGAAATATACAGTGCAGAAGGATTTCTTTTTTAAGAACAGGGCTTTTGGTTTTTTAAAGGGTACAATATAAAAATTGCCCAGAAAAGAATATTAGATGCTGAGACAAAGTAAGAAATGAAGCATCAAGGTTGAAGTGACCCAAATTGTGACATTATCACAGTGAACCGTGAGGTTCTTGGGCTCCCCGTCATCCCTGTCGTGTGAGGGTGAGATCATGCTCACAAACCAGGGAGAGCGAGGATGGATTTTAGAGGGCTTCTCCCTGTTAGGATCTTTAACCGATGGACACTAAGATGATAAAAAAGTGGGCACACACAAGGGAAGCCTTCACATTACTGGACCTCTTACCCACTGAGGCTTTGTGTATTAATATTTAGCTGCTGTATAACCTTTCACTATCAAAGAGAAGAATAAAGAACCAGAATTTATGACAAACATTCACATAGCACCACACGATGTCCATTCTCCCTGTTGTCAATTCAGAGCAGGGCGCTTTACCCCGGCCCACCACCCTGCATGAGCTGTCTCCTTGAGGGGCCAGCTGGCATTTCATGCCACAGTGGACTCTGTACCTTCTTAACCTCTCATTAAAACACACCTCGCTGACTTACTGGTCTGTTGAAATGTGCTAACTTTCTACAGAAATAATTTGTAAGAGTCACAGAGAAGGTGAAATGATCTGATACATGCATCGTCATGACTGAAGACAGTGAGTGCTCAGACACTCACAGAGTGACTGCCTAATTTTAGACACACTATTTTAAGACTAGAAACATGATCATTTTAAAGTGACAGTAATTTAAACTAATTAGGTACTATTTCCTACTGGGAAAATTGATATGATACGACCTAGAGACTTTAAAATTTTTGGATATGTAATCCCAGTTCAGAAACAGGCCTTATCCTCTAAATTAATAACTTAAAACCATTGGCTCTGCATTGATCTAATTAAAAGGTAACAACCCGCGATCCATGTTAGGCACTCACTGGGTAAAACACGCCGATCGTGGTGGTAACGGGGTACGGAACCAAGCTCAGGAATGGATCCTTGTAGCCCCACAGCAGCTCTTTCAGAGTTCTGTTTTGGAACATAGAAGACTTGGACTTTTTGATGAGCGAATTGAGTATTTGTTGAACGAAGTTGTTGGGGTACAAGTGAGGGGCAGCCTGTGAGAGAAAGGACTGCTTAAGACAGCAGCGCAGCGTCTGATTTCAACAGGAATAAATGCATTAAACACAGAATGTGGTTTAACAAAAGACTTTGGAACTGGCTCTTTAACACTGTGGTCAAATTCCGCACCTAGATGCTATCACAAGGAATATAACCCTGGGATTGTGGCATCTCTCTGCCTCTGCCCCAGCCACATCTGGGTTCCCTGTTAGCTGATCTTCCAGTGATCACAGGAAGCAGCTCCTACGTGACTGCTATGATTTTCTCATTGTTCCAAATGCCCATAACTCCACTCAGGACCACAGCAGGGGGAATATTTTTAGGTGAATTGCAACATAACAAACATAGTAATAATTCCAGCCCCTCAGGGCAGGCGAGTCCTGAGGTGTTTGGAAAGGGGGCTTTGTTGACTGCACTCACTGCCACGGCCAGGTTGAGGACTGTGAAGGTGTCATTCTCTGTCCCCACGGACATGGAAGGCACGAAGATGGCCTCGTTGGGCTGCACGAAAGAGATCGTTTGGTCGTTAGTGTCCTGTGTCACGTTCTTCTTGGCCAGATAGCGAACTCTGGAAAAATGGAAGTTAGCCGAAGTCAGGGAAACCGTTTCATAGGAACATTTGATTTCAAATGCCCTTCCTTCCTTTCTTCTTTCCTTCATTTTTATGATTTGAATACACAGGCCTTCTCAGCTGACAAATAGGGAGCTGGGAGAGCAGGGAGAGATGCTCGAGGGGGCCTTGTTTACAGAGCAGATGCAGCTCCGGGCCTGGACTGCTCCTCCGGGGGTGAGGACTGAGATTCATCTTGGTAGCAAGGACGCTAAAGTGGTCTGAAACCCAAGCATAAGTTCATTTCGGAAAGGAGGGAAGAGCATAACATACCAGGGGAAATGTAAGCGTTTGAGTGTGAGTGGTAGAGACAGAACAAAGCATGGTGGGGAATGCAATCACTAAAGAGCCAGTTTTCAAAAATGCAAGGGTCACAGTCCCAAGGCGGCCCCAGTCCTGAGGGAGAGAGGAGGAGGAAGGATCCGGGATCTCTTCCGAGCCAGATCTCTGCAAGCCCATAGGCTGTGCCCACAGCCCTCTCTAGTGTTCCCTGGATGTCAGTCCAGCCTTCAGATCTCCAGGGGGCAAAGCACCAAGGGCTTTTTAGCAAGCTGGGGAGGGCTAATTACTTAGAAAAAGTGGTTTGCAGATACAAGGAAACCACTGAGATTAGACCCACTTTGAGTGGTTCATCACAAGGTCATGTATTTGAATGTCTGTTACATGAGTTGAGTACGTTAGGTAAAGAATAAAGCTGTACCAGACTGAAATTTAAATAAAAACAAATTTTTAAATATGTAATGGAAGTGTGAATTCCTACAGCAAGGGGTTTTGCCCAGAACTGTGCCTTATACATACTGAGTTTTATGTTATTTCTTTATGAATAAATTAATGTCAAAAGAGGCTCTAAAACATGTGAGAGCATTTACTTACTTTTCAATAAACTACCAACAAAGGACATAAAAACGTGAAACACAAAAGACAGTTAGACACACCCTTTTCACCCAAATAGTTATTCTGAAGTATGTAGTACTAACATTTCAAATCAAACACTACATTTTTAAGAACATATATATGCCTGATAATTGAAAGAAGAGGAAAGATTCCTGAGCCAGCTTCACATGCTTAAATTACGCCTGTTTCAAGATGACACCAGCAGGTGGCACTCACTAAGAGAAAATGCTGCAAACCAAGCTCGGCTTTTAGAAGGTAATTTTTAGAATAGCAATTTTTTTTGTCTGTTTTAAATATTGGAAGCGTAGGACACTGCTGGTTAATAAGGTCAAGAGAAAGAATCACTCTTCGCTGTTGACCAAGATTTCTTTAATCCCAGCCAAAGCAAAGGTTTCTTTTAAGATGATGTGTGTTGCCTGAGAATGCCCAGAAGGGATGTCAGCATTCACGGAGATGGAGGGGGGAACGTGGGCGAACAGTCTCATGCTCTGACTCTCGTCAGAGCTCCTCAGTCGTTTTTCCTCCAACTCACTTTCTTGGACATTGACCTGCAAGCTCCAGGCTGTGACTAAGGGGCCGCATCTTCCTCCAGCTGCAATTCCAGGGGGCTTCAGGGAGTGGCTGCTGGGGAGCACGCTTAGCAATGAGATGCTCCTACGCGGCAACTTCCAAAAGACAAACAGCTCCCCTATTATTTAAGGCATTCAGGCAAACAGAAAGGGCTTCATTTTGCTGGCACCCAGAAGGAAGAGGACACAAAGCTGTTGCCTCATATCCCAAATAATACGCTTAGTAAAAGTAAAAAGAACTCTCAGCCAAAATTCTAATAATTATCCTCATTCCTCACACTCTTCTTGTTTTCTTCAAGCTGGGGTTGTGTGAACCTCTGTGCTCAGGGTCCACTGAGTCCCCTGTGGATCCCAGCTTGTCCTAGGTGTGCGCCACAGCTAGAACATTCTCGTGGAACAAGAGATTCCTGTGGGCTTCTGCCAATAATGGAAGATATGTGAGGCCAGGAGGAAAAAGTGTTTCCCAGTGTAAAAATTTTCCTCTGCAACAGGGCAAACCAAGTCTTCCTCGACACAGATATGTGACTAGAGACAGCCAGCTCGGGGACACGGGAAACACGAGATGTCCTGGTGCCTGCAGCAGTTTATCCTTAGAGCAGGAGGCCCTGCCTTCCCAGGGATGCCCATGGTTAATCTACAAACACTAGTTGTTTAGAAAAATGGAACATAATTATACAATTATATAACATCTGAAACCCGCAATGAATTATTTTGAAAAATTACAAATACAAAATTCTGTTACTTGATCCTGACATCCAAGTAGTTTTAATTATTCTTGAGGGGGAATATCACACATTGTATACATAGGATTTAAAGATGTTCTCGTGTGCATATGCAAATGTTCCTCACACTTGGGTAGAGCGGTGCTTTTAGCACCTCAGTTTTCACATTAAATACTTCTGCAGCTGAAAAGGGAGTCTAGGATGTGAGTAGAAAATGTGTTCGAAAATCTAAGAGCTACCAGTGTCTTCACTGGCGTGAACATGTGCAAGTCCCTGTAGGTCTGTCAGGGTCTGGTTTTTTATTTCTAAAGCACAAGGCGCTGGTGAGCCATTTCCCCTACTGCTTACACCCTGAGATTCTGCTCAGATGTGTGTTGAGCTATGAGGGAGTGTAGGAAAAAACACAGTCAGTCTCAGCAGAAGAGAATATGCAAGCATGACACTGCTAGGTAAACCTAGCTACCTACAAAGTGCCCTGCAGCAGGTACAGCGGTAAAGTAAAATCAGTTTAGTGCCGTGGTGCTCAAAAGTGAGTACATCAGAATCACCCAGAGGACTTCCAAATCCACTCCTGGGCCCCAGCTCGAGGGTCTCAGATGCCTTTGGTAAGGGCTGGGGTCTCCCTGGGCATATCCACCCAGTCTCCTGGGGGTCTGGGAGCCCCGATAGAAGATACAATTTTCCTTTGAAGATCTTAAGGACATTTACACACGTTTTCCTGTCCAGTCCTGTCCAGGTCTCACTGCTGTTGAGACCATGGTCACAAGTGCTGAACAGAAACACCATAACTTCTTAACCTAAATCAGTTGACATAATGCTGCTAAATTCACAGTAGAATGTATGCATTATAGATGCTTAGATAATTTATACATATGTATAAATTAAATTCCTAGAGGAGCACCCTGTGCAGGTAGGAAACAACTTCAAGGTATATTACTGGCAGGAAAATCACTTCATTGCAATCAGGACATAAATGGGTCAAATGGAAGCCATCTCAGAAACACAGGAGGAAAGATGGTCCCCGCGGGACACACTCACCGGTACGTGTAAGGCCCTCTCTGCTTAACCTTTATGTTGCTGCTGTTCAGCATCACTTCCTCTGGGTTCTGCACATCGAAGATCCAGAACTGTCTGTAAACATCCGTGCCTGTTTTGACCCAATTTTTAAAAGCAATTGTACCTTCTTCCAGGACGACTTCCTACGAAAAAGAAAACACATTTGAGTCATTGCTTTGTGGTATCTACAGGCACCAGGGAGGGTTTGCCCACCGTCTTTAGACAGGCAGGACAGGGAGGCTGGTCTCATGGTTCATGGTCATAAGAACGCATGCAGCCTGGCCGCATGCTCAGAGAAGTCTTTCCGAAACCTATGGCAGCTTGTTGGGTCCACCCTTTATGAAGAGACCCACGTGTGCAAAGGAAGCCAGGAACGTTGAGTTTTCTGGTGATTCCCTGGCGATATTGCAACAGTCAGTAATGTGGTATATTAATCAGCTTCTGTTAAAGTTGTCACCGGGTCAAATCTTGTATCCCTAAGTAGCTATACCGAGAAGGCAAAAACAGAAGAGAGATAAATATAGGAGGATTGGAGGGTTTTTTTTCTTTCTTTTTCTTTTCTTTTCTTTCCTTTCCTTTTCTTCAGAAGTTGGGTGATAGGGGGAGGATTTGTTAAATGAATAAAATAAATCCTATGGATAAAAAGCACAGGATGTTTTTGTAATCCTGACTCACATAGTTTCCAGAATGCTACTATGTTTCACAAACCCATTACTCCATATCTCCAGAAATTACAGCCAATTCATTACCATTTGGTTACTGTTTTTTAAAGCAGTCATGACAAGGAAACGTCTCTTTTTGTGTGTGTGTTTGTGAAATCCACTAAAAATCATAAATACTCTTTGCACTGAAAATAGGCCAGTGGAAAGCATGCCGGTGCGAGCACTTCAAAGCTGCGATTAGCAGCCTGGCCTCTGGCTTCATGAGCTTTGGGACCAAGTGGAAAGTCACAAACCCCCGCGGGTCCCTTTCATTATCGGCAGGGGGAAGCAGTTACCATAGATGCTCTCCTAGGTTCTTTCCCGGCCTTGCCCTCTCTGAGCAGAATGGCTGCATCGCTATAGCAATCAGAGTAAACACAGGAGATTTTCTAGGTCGTTGTGTCTGTACTTAAGCATCTTGGGAGGACTGCCCAGGTCTGAGAGCTCTATCTCACCTAGCACGCAAGAGGAAGGGGAAGAGAGACACTTCACGGAAAATGAGACCAAGCAGACCCACAGATACAGGAACAGCCTGACCTGTTTTTTTGTTCCTGCACCGGGAAGAGCCAATTCGTGGAACCATGGGATCAGGAAGGACAGGGAACATTGTGACATTTTTCCTTAGGGCACACTGGCAGGGGGTAACCATGCAGCTGGCCCACCATGGTGACCATTTAATGGGAGCACAATAATCAGGAGCAAAGTTCCTTCCCCACGTATTACTGGTATACTGGTATACTGGTATTAAAATCTTTCCTCTCTCACCCACTGCACTTGGTCATCGACAGTCAAACCAAGATTTGTACCTTCACGATGTTACATTGCTTAATGCAGAGAATTTCTTGGAGAACAGCTAGGTTATCAAGCTTCAGTGACAAAGACCTGCACTTCTATGATCCATTTGTACTGGCAAACAGTACAAACAGTGATATTCCGATTTCTGTAGCTTTTACCACAACTTGTCCTTGAAAACCTTTTTATTTGTTCCCCAGAATGCTTATTTCCACACTAATGAGTCCAGTTACTAAGACAAAATTACGTAAATTACGAGTTTTCTTCTAACAGTAGAAGCGTGAACACTGCGGTTGACTACATCAGGAATGCCAGCTGGGTTAATTCCTCTACTTTTCGGGTGTATGTGAAAACACACACCGTTATTCACACTCTACACAAAAGTAAGGCTTCATGCAGGCCTATTACTTATCTTGTGTCTCTCAAAATATATATTGTAGTTTATTCTCCAATAAATTCTTAGAGAAAGGAAGAGAGTTTGGGACAGAATGCATCTGACCTAACAGCACGCTGCTAAGTCTCAGGTATGCGCGTCTAACTCCCATTGTAAGTGTGTTATCTCTTTTCCTTTTAATGCCTATAAATCGCTGGATTTCTTACTCAAGATTTTTAATGGAAAATTGAAACTTGTGAGGTAAATACAAATGTAAAGAGTGATCGGGTGTCTAGAGTTAGGCCACCTAATATTTAATGTGTAGAAAATGAATCTAAGTACAATAAATGTCTAAGTCAATGTTATTTGATATTTGTGAAATAGTAAAGAAAAATCAAGGATTTTCACTCTAGTCTTATATATGGTTTCTATAACTTCATGATGTCATAGAAAAAGAAAAAAAATATCAGAGCAGGCAAAAGGATGCTGTTCTTCTGATACTAGTACTGCTATATATGTTAGAGAATCACACAGCTCCTCCAGCACCAAGATCCAGAGCCATAAGTTCTTGATTTCAAAGGAGAAAAATAACACACATCTTCTGTGTATCATTTTAAATTAAGGCGAATTGACTATCAACCTAGTTTGCGAATCCTCTACTACGTTTGAAGTGCAAAGGTGATAATTATATAGGCAGAAAAAGCAGTATAATGCAAGATTCCCTCACCTGGCTGACATATGCATACATATTTGTCCTGCACATTGAGTGTGCAGACTGCATAGCTCCAGTAAGGGCCAGATTCCAACCCTGTAATTCTTGCAGGCTGCTGTGTCCAGCTGGGGCGAAAGCTACTGATGCTGACATTTCCATTCTCCATGCCAATTTGAAGTCTGATGTTTGGAACAGTGATATCTCCTTGATTATCACTGCTGAATGCAAAACACTTCCTCTTCTGCTAAGTGGCATAATTTACCATAATCATTAACTCCCTCTGCACACACTCCTGTGTAGAATGGGGAGAGTACAAACACTGAGAGACCTCGTCTTGCTTCTCTGGGGCTTTGTGAAGCACTGCGGGGCAAAACTGTGCACCATGGAGCTCAGTCTGTGAGTTAGCGTGAACCATATGAACTTTGTACTTTTGAAAGTTAAATCACACTGGGTATTGACGTTTCCATACGGTTTCACTATGTATGAACGCTGATAAATGTGGCCACTTGGAACAGTATCAGCATAGCAGCCATTTAATATTTAGCGATTCGTATTTTGCAAATTCTACCTGCTCCTTAGAGGGCAGACTCTCGCATTTCCCAAGCCCCTGCATACTGCTCATGGTCATCACTGTTTATTCCAATCATGTGCCAATAATTCATGTGGAGTCCTGTGACACTTTTTCTGCTATTGAATCACCTGATGCATTTATTTCCCTTGCATTATAATAAACATCTCCTTAAAAACAGAGGTGTACTGAAAAAGACCTTCAGCCCTGTCCTCTATGGATATAAACATGCTTGTAACTAATCCTGAATAGAACAGTCTCTCTGCAGTTAAAAGACACATAAGCATCACATGGATTTACCAAAAGAAAGACATTGGGGGCTGATGGTTGTGCTAATTAATAATTGGCCTCATCTTGGATTACCATCAACAATTATAATCCAGAATAAGATGTGGTGAGACGCTTTGTAACAGTAAGCTTTAACATGTTTTAGAGACTCCAAAATCTAGCCTTTAAGAATTTATGGAAGAACCTAAAAATGGGAGACTTCTAATTTGGCATGAAAGACAATGCGGAGTTAAGTCGGGGTAGAAGAAGATAGCTACATATACTTACTGCTATTTATTTTTGAGACAGGGTCTCACTATGAAGATCAGGCTGGCCTTTAACCCACGTGGGACCCCAGGCTGACCTCAAAATCACAGTAATAATCTTGCCTCAGCCTCCTATGTGCTGCCATTACAGGCATGGACAATATGCCTGGGTCTCAATATATTCTTAAGTGACATTTGTTTTTGTGGTTATCTGAAAACATATACTGCATTCAAGCCATTGATATATAACCTTATCTGAATTTTTTGTTTCTTGTTCCCATCTTGTATTGTTAATTACAAAATACACTTTAGCATCTTTAACAATTGTTTCTTTTAGAGCCTTGTAGATAACTGGAAAAAGTACAAATTATTTTATTATGCCTAAAAATAATGTAATCTTTTTAAGTTAATATGAATTACTTTGTTCAAATGTGAACTACTCACACAATGATCACCTCAATAAATAATTATTTCAATTAACTTTGTCTAAAGCATGTTTTACAAGTACTGGAAGTACTTTCTCTTCAGGAACAGGTGGATTCAGAAAGCGATATAGTTCAGTGGGGTGTTTACATCACAAGAGCAAGGCTTGAGCCCCAGAACCAAGAAAAAAATCTAGGGAATAGGAGAAGCAAAATGATAGCCTAATTGAATTATGGAATGATCATTTGTCTCTTCACAGGAAAAAACAGAAGCTTTTAACTCACTGATGTTGTATAGGTAATTGGAAAATTGAAATTTATTGCAAAAGCTCTGTGTTATGTAGTATTTAGTGAACAGTTTATGAAGTGATAGGAACAATATCAAGATTTAAGTTATCTTTCTCAAGTGATGGCAGGACTCTGACCTTTCCAAAGTTCTTTGGTGGAGCACATGTGGAGGCAGCCCACACCTTTGACTTGAGTCCACCTAGAAAGGTCGGAGAGACCTGCTGCACTCACACAAACACAGCAGGAGCCAGGCGGATAAAATGGTAGGAAAGCTGTGGGGTCCTGCTTTTCATTTCAGAATCATCACTTATCACGTTCGAACCCTGATTTCTTAATTTCTATCAACCCGAAAACATTTTGTTCTGTCTTTCCTTGAGTTCTTGTTTCCTATAAAAGTTCAAAATTATACACTTTGGTTTTGTTTCTTCGTCTCTTTTTTTTAATTTTATTTTTAAGAGAACAAAGTAAAAATAAAAACGATACAGAGCTTCAAAGCAGGATCATAAGGAATTAACAGAGGTCAATATATTGCATACTGCTCTCTTCAGAGTAGTTGCTCAGATTACAAGATACAGGCATGAAAAATTAATCAATCACTGGAGACGGGGTCTCACAACATGGTGGGCTGGCCTTGAATTCACTAGGCAGCCCAGGCTGGTCTCAAACTCACAGTGATCCTCCTGCCTCAGCCTCCCAAGGGCTGAGATCGCAGGTGAACACCACCACATCTAGCTTATTTCTTAACACAAAACAATTTATTTTCCATTTTGCTTTTAATTTCCCTGTCTCTGATTATGAACAAACCCTCAAAGTAACCGGTCTGTGTCTTCCCTACGTTGAAATTCCCTAGTAAACGAAACTTTTGTAACCTCTACAGCGCTGAGCAAGTGTCTCTGAGGCCTGACTTTGAAATCCAGAGTGATGTCCATGCCTTGCAGCCCGTTTGCCACTTCCTCTGCAGGACGTTGCCCTGGGCAACCCCGCAGGGCGTCTGTCTGTGTTGGTGTTGGCGCCCGCTGCTGCTTTGGTCCTGCACACATGCGCAGTCAGCATTTTCTCTGGCCTTCCCTGGAGTCCCTTTTGTTAGGTGGGGGCCAATGAGGCAAAGACCTTCTGAGCGAGGAGCCATCACTCGTCCATGAGAGTACGTGTCCGACACAGCTCCCTCTCAACCCCGTCTTTGGTCTCCTGGAAGCAGAGGGGCAGAGGTTTGGTCCTGACCCTGCCTCTGTCCAGGAGTGACCCCTTGCCCATTGGCGGCTGGCTTGGATAATCTATAAAATGGGCACATTGATTCTGTCATCTTACAGTTTATGAACATCAAGTGGGTTTTACTTAGGGACCTCTTCGTGAGCACTAAATCAGTGCTGAGCACTGGCTGGGAGCACTCTCTAAAAGCAGCTGTGTTAACATCTTCTGGAAGAACACCCAACCATTCTTTCGAGTGACATCAGCAGTTAAACTTCTGGGTGGCATTTGAGGTGTCTCAGGTCTCACCTTGCATTGCTCTCTCCCAAGCACGCTTGCTAACCCAGTGTCCTCCCGCTGCCTACTTTATCCCACTTCACAGCACTGACCTGCTCTACCACCTCTAACCAGTCCTCGGACCCAACCTCAGAGTCCATTCTGGGCTTCGCACTCCTACACTTCTTCAAAACCCAACCCAAGTCCCTCCTGCTTCTTGAAGGTTCTTGAATCTCAGGGAGAATGCTTGCACCACTCAGCCCTTCTTTCTCTTATTTTCACAACTTAATTCTAAAGTCTCAGGCACTCTCTATTTTCTTTCTTTATATGATATGCTTCTGCCTAGTTGTATCTTACATAACTTGACATGAAAATTCATTTTATAACAAATAAATTTTATTGTATGTTAATCGCTACACCAAAGTCTTTTGTTGTTGTGCTGAGATCAGATCCCACCATGTAGCCCCGAATGGCCTCAAACTCAGGACGATCCTCCTGTTTCAGAGTGAGAAAGATGTGTTTGGACACCTCAAAACTCTTAGGATTAACCATCGTGCACTTGGAGATACATTTTAAAGAATTAACTGAAAATAGGTGCTTGTACTCAAAGACTATTCAAAAAAGAGTCTATGTGTGCTAATGTTGTTACATAAACAAAAAATTAATTGATGAAGACCTAGACAGTGAGCATGGATAATGTCCAAGAAGAAGCCTTTGTCTAAAATAGTGCGCACCGAGAGAGTCTATTTGTTCAGATGAATTTTCCAAAAGCGAAGTTACAATCTGCAGGTTAACATGGATAAGGAAACATCCTCTCCTGCTGGGGATCCAGGTGGGAGGCAGAGACAACAGCAGGAAGAAATCGGGGTTCCCTCTCAGAGCCCCCACAGGCCCCGCTTGTCACCACCATCTGCCCCTGGTCGGCCTCTGCCCGGAACAGCAGGAGTTCCAGGCTAGGGAATTCTGTTTATAGTCCTATGCCTTTAATACATGAAGATGTGTATTATTTATATATGTGCATATAAATATATATTTTGGTTCAGCACACAAGGTTGAAGAGCTGCAGGTTGTTAGCAATAGAAGAGTGAAAAATGATTAATGAGAAGATATGGCAGGCAAATCAGAGAACGATTTACCTTTGATCACCTGCTTTAGCATTTATAGTAAGACAGTTGTTAAAATGGTACAGAAGAATTATTTTTTAGTTTAAATCATTAAGCACTGTGAGCTGAAGAATGACCAGCAAGTCATAACTGCTTGTTCTAAGGAGGCAACTTTGAAATCATTCTTCATTTAAGTTTGCCAATGAAGTCAAAGTTTCAGTAAAGGAGGATGCTGTCTGTCCCAATTCCCAGGAAGAGCTCATGGCGCGGAGCAGAAGGCCCGGCTTTAAGGGAAGCGGAGAGTGAGGTGATGGCTCTCACTCCTCCAGCTCTTCCTCCCTGGGCCGCCCAGTTCTCGGTCCGATCACTGAGCCCAAACAAGGCCTAGAGCTGACCTGGGGCTCAGATTCAGCATTGTGACACTCAGGTCACAACAGTGCTGCTCATCACCCCATGTGTCTGGCAGCTTAGCTTCTGTTTAACCCCCACCCCAAACTCCTGGTGCCACTGGAATTTGCTGTGCCTCGCTCAGGCCACAGCAGATATACCTCCCCTTACTCTGTCTTTTAAAACCTCTGTTGGGTACAAGTTTGCAACACATAATGATTCTATTCCTTGTGATCCGTAATAATTCCATCCATCTCCGTCTATTCTAAGCCGCTGTCATTGTGGTCGTAATGGGTTGGTGCACGTACTTAACATGTGTCAGTTCTTTTTCCGTCTCCTCCCTCCTTCTCTCCTCCTCACTCCGTGTTCTGTCTCCACATTTACAAAAGATCTGCCTTTCAATGTGTCCTGTGACTTTGTTACACTCTGGCCTTCTCATGTGAGATAAACTGTGCAATATTTAAGCTTGTCGGATTCGTGCGTCTCATTTAATTCACCTAATACTCTGCCAGTTAGAACTGCAGGTATCTGAAGTTAGAAAGCGCCAGCGTAGGAGATGGTTTTGTGCAAATTTTGTCTGTTGAATCACTAATTTTGGTTAAAACTACAGTTAATCTGTTGATATATTCTGAGATATATTCTACATCACATATTCCTAAAATCTTTTCCTGAAGTATTTTCTGGGTCAAATATAAACTTTGTAAATAGGGAGTATTTATAAGATAATTAAATTATTAGATATATTATAAACAGCAGTTTTTCAGTTTACCAAAAGTCTCTGCTTCAATGTTAGACTTAATAGTTATTGAACATACTTATATAGGCATGCATACACACACATAAGTGTGGTCACACACTGACACACACATATGATTCTTCTTTCTCAGTATTAACTAAATAACACAGCAACATTTTTTGTCTTTTTGAGACACAGTCTCACTATGCAGTGCAGGATGGCCTTGGGCTCACTGCGTAGCCCAGGCTGGTCTCAAACTCATAACGATCCTCCTGCTTCAGCCTCTCGAATGCTGGGATTACAGGCGTGCACCACCACGCCCAGCTCAACACAGCAACTTTTATAAACATTCTCCTACAGAGAAGTCTTTTTACGTCCCATTGCAAAGCATGTCAACATATTCTCTGTACATAATTTGAAACAGTTACATCTACAGACCTACCTACACCCTATTGATTTTCCAACACTCACTATTCTTATCTAGGACTGCAGTGTGTCCATGTTAAATACACCCTAGACCTGTAGCCTTTCTCACATGGTCAGTTGTCTCTAGAAGTGCAGTGACCCATGATTACCTGTGTGTTGAAGACAAAAATGTGACTGTTTACCACGGACCCTGCGACAGACACCCATCCAGGACAGAGCGGACCGCAGGGTCGGGCAGGCCGCCGCACTGCCCTGCCCACGTACCTTCTTGATGGTGTTCTCCACCATGAGGTCTCCCACTGGCATGAGGACCCCGCCCAGCACAGCCAGCACCGCGCCGATCACCGCCCCGGTGATGAGCCCGCAGTTCCGATTGCAGCCCATGTCTCCCCTGCAGTCTGAGCACCGGGACTGTCAGACTCTCAGCTCTGATTGAGACGTTTTCTGTGTGGTACGGCTCTATCATCACAACAAGATCGTAAATCAGAAGTTGAAATAACAGCACAAAAAGATCAAAGTACAAAGATACTCAAAATCGAAGCAGATCGTTTGGCCAAGTGCCTTTCTAGACTCTCCCATCTCTTGCTCCTGACTGCCTAGGAGTACAGGAAATCGTGGCAGAGAGCGCGTTCCTCCAGAACACTCCTGCTCTTACTTACCTCTCCTCCTGGGATCACTAGCACACTGAAGCTTTCCTGAAGCTTCCTGGGCTATCCCTCCCTCTGTGCCTTCCTTCTGCGAGGATGAGTCCTCGCCTCCTATCTCCTATCTAGCATCTCCACCCAAACACAGCCATGTCCATCCCATCAGGGCTTCTGCAAGCACAGGGCCGGTGCTGGTGGCCTCTCTGCCCCAGTGCTCAGCAAGCGTGATAACAGAGGTTTTGCTTACTCACCAACAAACAGCGAGGTGAGGACGGGCTTCACGAGGAACGAGCCAATGAGTCTCAGGATGAAGCAATCCTTCTAATCATTGGAAATCTACCTGAAAAAACAGACAGCATGAGTAAGTAGGGGAAATCTATTATCTGAAAATGAATACCTAGGACATTATCTGCTATCACCATAGTGATAACTGCTTGAAGAAAATTCCATTTTATGAATGCAGACTTGGTAGCTGAAATGTTTGTCTTAGAAGCAGTATGGAAAATGTTGAACTGAAGTGAATTTCAGTTTTAAATAAAAGTAAAGTGCACTTTATTTTTAATTTCACTGTTAATGAATTTTGGGGAGACTGAGAAAAATTTAAAGAAAATGCATAATGTAGAAGATGATTTGTTTTAACAATAAGTTTGTTATTTCAGTTGTCCTGCTTAACTAGAATATTAATTTTGTTATGCAGAATGATCCAGGCCAATTTTATTAATATCAACTAGTTTTTGGTATTATCTGTTTCACCTGTCTCATCTTACTTGCTGTATCATTATATAGGAGATAATTATTACAGTAAGCTTGAAATAAAAGCATTTATGAATGAATGGATCCTGTAACAATAAAACTAACAGGAGTCTATCACTTCAGATGGATATTGGAAAACACATTCACTTGAGCTGTGTTGATTTCAATATCATTTTTTTAAATGATGGACTTGACCCATTACCAATACAGTCAGAATATGCTTGGTAGCTTAGAAACAAACTTCAAAACAAACATGGCTCAGGGGAACACAGATGCTGAGAGTGAAGGCTGCAGACCACAAAAATGCACCTGAAAACTTGGCCAACATGGCGAGTGAAACGGTAAAAATGACAGTTGATCAGGGTCTCAGTTTTTCCCTGGGCAGTTTTGCTCTAACAGATGTTTTATTCTTAAGATAAATTATAATTGATCTCTATTTGAGGAACATTTCATTTTTTAACTGGCATGGGCAAGAAAAACATAGTAATTAAGACTTGATGTTAACATAGAGAAACCTAAATTACATGAGCTTTTTTCTTGGTAATTTTGTTATTTCTTCTCTGTCACCTTCAAGTGACATTTTCCTTGATCTGCCCCATTACAGTGAGGATATCACAACCATCTACAGAATCATTCATGCTGGGGAACTGATGACTAAGAAGCTTGAATGGTTTCCCAGTGTCACATGTTCATTTTGCAAGTAAAAGGCAAACACAGAAGACAAAAGAAATGATTTATTTTTATGTTTTATTGAGCAAGAAATTGTACATCCTACTGAGCAAGAGGAGCTGACTGTGTATCAATCATCTGCGATCTAGTGGGAGGAGGATTCGCTGCTCTTTGATTCATGTGACACTTTCCCTCCTGTGGCTTTGGCTGGGCTATGAAAATCCAAGAGAACAGGAGTCTTACAGGCTGATAAGGACCAACTACATCAAACGATTTTCTTCGCCAAGTGTGATAAAGTGCCTTAAACTTGTGGTGAGATAATCTTTTAAGCAACCACAGTAATTGCTAAACAGAAAATAATGTCCAGGTATTTTGTGTGTGTCAACCCAATAATCATTTCTGCAGGTGGCATTTGAGGTAGCAGTCAAAATACAGGGGCTCCCTGGAGAGAGCCAGGAACAACAGGAAAATCTCTAAGTTTCTCCATCCCTCAGTTTCCTCATGTGTACCGTGAAAGCTGAGATCAAAGTTTCTAATGTGAAGAGATGAATCAGACCTTTACTTAATTCTTGTACAGAAGGCCAACAGGCTTGCTGAATATCATTATATCACAGTGGCACCAACCTGGAGACACCCTGACTTGGTTCTACCCCAGCTTCTGGCTCTCCCTCCTCACTGTACAGGAAACTTTAGGAAATGTCTGCAGAAAGTGACAGAATCATGAGCCCATTCAAACTAGGGGGCAGGAAATTCTGGGCCCAGCTCTAGTTTAGTGACCATAAAGGGAGTCTGTGCGAGCATGTGTAACTTCAACATGTAGCCATGTCTTTTAGAAAGTTATTTGGTGTCCTGTACATATTTCATTGAAAGCTATTTATTCAATCATCTCCAACTTTTATTTCCAACTTTTGCAGATAGAATACAAAAGATTTAGAAAGCACAGTTATCCTGTGATGAAGTAGCTACAGAGGCCTACATCTGCCCATTTTTACCTTCTATGCTGTAACCTAGTTGTGACTCTCTCTGACCTTTTGTGAAAGCATGCTTTACTCTAGTAACTATGAACTCCAGACTTTCTGCAAGGGGTTACTGCACCCTGAGCTACACACTGTAATGTGCAATCAGCACATCACCTGAGGCAGAAGAGGACCAAAGGATTAGATCTGTGCTGAGCACGCAGACGTTCATGCCCGGCACGTTCCTCTCAGCAGCTCCCTACCTGCCTTTAGACCTGATCCACTCTCATCTTCCTCTATGCTGTTTCCGGATTCCCATAGCATTTTGATATTAGGGCATGCACATTATAGACCTAAAACACTCGGTTTTCTTAACATAGGGTTTTACCTAGTGCTGGTTATTGTATTTGGTAAATTCAGATTAAATTTTATCTGACACTTGTTTGTTGTACATAAGAAATGGACCAAGAATTTCCATCTCTAACAGATACTTGCTGATTAAATTACCCCAGTCTATAAGGCTAAGGACAATCTGAGATACAGCCATCTAGTTAGACTTATGTAGAAAAAGAAGAGAAAATAAAAGGTCACATTTTTATGGTCTCACTAATTACACACCTATCTTGATATTATAGATAGATCAGCTGCCTTTAAGCCAGTTCACGCAGCACTACAAGGGGACCCCTTTGTTAGAATTCCTGAGCACCTTCTAGTACCTTGGGATGGGTTTTTGTTTTCTATCAGGTCAACAGAGTGGTGTTTCTACCATGAACTTCTGAATGAAGCACCCTGCTTGCCTGCATGGGGAACATGGACTAGCTGCAAATCTATCTCTTCTGCAAAGCCTGAGGCCAGCTGAGCAAACAGGCAGAACATTAGCACACTCCCAAGAGAGCCTGCTAATTACTCCCATGCTGGTTAAAGCTGTGTTCCTTGGGAAACCCCACTCAGAAAAGGCACGGCCCAAAGTGACATCTGCTGAGATACGAACTAGGAAATTAGAAAAAGTTCAGATTTCCAGTCTATTGCACCAAAATGAGTGTCATGACCTGTATTAGGGTTACACTGACCAGGGTTATCTACAATTTCTTCTTCTATCTGTAAGCCTTCCTTCTGATTTTGTTTAAGATGGAAAGCCAGACCACACATATCTGTTTCCACTGTGCAAATGGGATTCTTCTGATACATAGATTCCTACCTAAAAAAGCCACGTCACGTGCCACTGAAACCCCAGCGTCACTAAAGGAGTTCTTACTTCAACAGCTTGAATATGGATACAGGAGTCACTTTTAAAAATACATTAAATTCCTTTAGACAGTGTGACCCTACATCATTGCTAGGTGTCCCTAGACATGAGTAAGACATATGTTCAAAGCTAGGCTGGAAGGAATGGGCTTGAAACAATCATTAAAGCCTGGTGGGGTTCATCACATGTGAACAGGAAGCCAACAGGGCAGGCTGCCTTCACGCTGTTCAGAGATAGACTTCTCCCTTCCACTATCTTGATGTACGAAGACCGTTCCCTGAGGGCCTATCTGGCAGAAAAAGGGGCGCGAGCAGAGCCCTGCACACAGCAGCAGCTCAACTCCCTGTCCCCCGCTCAGCTCCCTGAACCCCACAGAACATTTTCCGAGTAATAGATTAGGAGACCACCAGCATCTCATCTTACTGCAGTTCTCAAAACCCTTTGACTCAGTTCTGTGTGCATTTATGTCCTATCTGAATATACACAGGTGAAAACAGTATAAAATGCATATAAAATATGTGTAACAAAACAATTGTACACCTCACTGTACTTACCAGATTTTACTATTAAAGCTTGCTTTTGTGATAATATTAAAAATGCAATAAATAGCTAGTATTACATATATTATATTTCAAATGAAGCCTGCCTTTTAGAGAGTGACAAACTAGGGTTATTATATATCCAAAATAACTATTTAGTTGTTAATTGATATAGGGTTATCTAAAACCATTTTAATCATTGAGTCCTAGACAACAATGTTATTATTTTCTTCATTCCTCACCCAAAATTCTCAGGGAGGTTTATAGTGGTGAAGATTCTGGACTTGAAGTCTGAAAATATGGATTCCCTTCTGGGTCTCTACATGGGAGTGCATGGGTCAGATTTCTCTAGTGTGAGTTTATTGCATCTCAAGTGAGGTTCCAGCGGTTAAATCAAATAGTGCAGGAAAGTTGCCATGATAGAAATGTTGCTTTGAATTGTTATCAAATAGCACATCATGAAATTCTGACTTAACAGCCAATTGTTACTTCAAATGGAGTGCTATTTTTAAAAACTCCAATAAATGGGGCTGGGGATTTAGCTCAGTGGCATCAGCGCCTGCCTTGCAAGTGTGCAGTCATGAGTTCAATCCCTGGTACAGATAAAAAAAGTCCAATAAATGGATACATTTTACACAAATAGCAATGGCTACTTGTAAAACAGTGAAATGAGGTGATATATACAATATATGTACATATGTATGAAACTAAAATCTCATATTAATGGAAATGTAGCCATTACCTTAAAACAAGACCATTTACAAATTCTATCCTATTTTAGTCCAGTGAACTAAAACAATTACAGAATTAGTTCCTTCAGGAAATAGAAAGCAAAATACATACAATTCAAATGAATCTGGATGAATACAGCTAACATTTTCTCAAGAATAAAAATGGCAACAATAATTTCCGAGATAAATTCCGGAGTGTTTGGTACACCCTGCACAATGTCCCCTCCCAGTGTAATTTTAATATTTCTCCCAGGCTTGTTATCTGATGGTTCTATATTTAGTTAGATGTTCTGGTTCAGTAGGACTTTGATTAAAATTTTCTAATTATTTTTTCCTCTCACAAACTCCAAAAGACCAGTGGATTCTCTCCATAGCAAGAATATTTGAAAATTACATTGTTTTCTTGCAGGCCAAGATACTTACAGCAATATTTTCTTTCAATTTCA